CTCTCTCTCTCTCTCTCTCTCTCTCTCTCTCTCTCTCTCTCTCTCTCTCTCTCTCTCTCTCTCTCTCTCTCTCTCTCTCTCTCTCTTTCTCTCCTTGCTCTCTCTTAATTGTTTTGCAAACAAGAACGGATGGTTGGGATGGGAATAATAAACAAAAGACTTTAGGCTTTCGAGAATTGACATTGGCCTTAGCCGGCTAATAATTCCTGAAACCAAACTCGGGTCGTTACAATTCTCCCCCACTAACAGGAATTCGTCCCCGAATTCGAGTCATCCGTTGACTGCCCAATATCATCGCAACAAAACTCTGAAAAATCAATCTGGTTGGTCTCTGAGATCTTCTTCTGAATCCCTATCTCTCTCCCAACAAATCTGACAGACACATGCGACATTCTATGTAATGCTTTCACTTGACGATCCAAATTCTTCACTAACTGACAAGATGAATCCAATCTCGCTGAGGTCGTCTGATGGCTGCTGCAAAATGAGGTCTGGGTCTCTCACGATTTTTCCTTGAAACACTCCTAGAAATCTGGTAACTCTATTGATAAATCCAATCCATAAGCAACTACTCCAATCTATAAAGCAATTGCTCCAATCCGTTCCACTATAAAATATGGTCTAATACATTTTGGTTTACTCTTCTTTAGCTTCCGGGTCGTATATCCTCCCTGAAATGTCTTTATTTTCAGTTATACTTGATCGTCTACCTGAAACTCCAAGTCCTTACGATTCTTAATTATCTTCATAACTCTTGTGACGGTCATGAGCTTCCTTATGCCAAAATTTGAGCATGTCCATTTGCTCTACTGACTTTGAACCATTAATGGTTCTACAACTCGCTGCTCCACCACTTCTGTTCAGCAAAGTGATGTAGGTCAAAAATCTATCATAAAAAGATTCATATGGTGCTATATCAATACCTTAATTGTAACTGTCATTGTAAGCAAACTCTGATAGAGGTAGACGCTTCCATAACTTCCTTTCCACTGTAAGACACAATCTCTGAACATATCCTCAAAACTCTGACTGGTTTTGTCTAAATGACCCTTTGTCTCTGGATGATAAGTAATACTCAAATGGATTTTACCCCCCCCCCAACGCCCCCTGAAAAGCTCTCTAAAATGCAAACGTGAATCTTTTGCCTGATCCGATAAAATGTTCGCGAGAACTCCATACAACATCACAATCTCTCTCATGTGTGTCTACGCCAACTGACCGGCTCCAACTGCCTCTAGAATTATATGTAAAATTAATGATTTAATAAATACATCCACAAACCCTCATATGATATCCTTTCTACATGTGATGATCGACAATCCTGTACCAGCTTCCATAATCCCAAAGTTACACTTCTACTCTAGCAAAAGCAAACTCAACAATAACCTGATAGGTACCCGATCCTCAAACATAACCATCCGACACTGCGACACAAAGCTAAAATCTTTTCAAACTAGACCAATGATAGTAACACTTCATATCTTGCAATCCTATGTGTTTCCCGGGTGGATAGAAAAAGGCGAGTGATGTGTTTGTTGTAAGATCGTTTTTCTTAACAGTTCATCGTTCAACACACCAACTCGATTTTTATACAAGAACATACTACTCTTAACTGTATGATATTGAACACTCTCATACTCAATCCACCTGACCAAATCTACATTGCTATCATGCGCTTGGTGTAATTTCCATAGTAATTTTGCATGTTTCAATGCTCCAATACCGATTGTATCTTCCTCTACTGAACTGCACGTAATCTGAAGGCTTGTAACGTCGTAGTAACTCTTGAACCTTCTTGTTTCATGATTCATCACTCATGTGCATACCCAAGGCATTTTTCACCTGATTATCCTTACCAAATGACAGGTGATATCCAAACTTGACGACTACCAACTCAATCCATTTGCACGGTCTCAAGTACAAGTTCTAATGAGTGAACATATATTTCAGACCTTGATGATCCCATGAAATTTTAACTTTTTTGCCATACAATGATGATCTCCAAAACTCTAAAGCCGATATAACTGATGCTAACTCCAAATCGTGCACTGGATATTTGGCCTCAAAATATGCTTCAACTGACCACAATATAAATCTTAATATACTACCCATTACGACGGTGATGGTAACATGGACAAATCGATAACTTAGACTGGTTTCTTTTTCGGTAGCTTTTTCCACTAAATCTCTTAACCTGAAGTAAGCGACGACACAACAGCTGCTGTGAATCTCTACTCGCATTCTATCCAAAAACTTTTTGATCAGATTTTTTTCTAAAATGCCACCTCTAACAAATCCTCAAGGTAGGCCTGTTAGGTCCAAAGTGGCTCAATTGTACTTTCTCCACAACGCTAATGCATCTCCACATGGATACGCCATAGTCGATATAAATGGCAACTTTGGTGAAAAATCCAAAAATCTATAACTTCAATTCCGAAATGCTCCATATTCATAATCTACATCTGGTTCGCTGCTTATGAAATGATCTAAGCTTCTTGTAATAAAT